AATCAATCACAATCGATGTGATTAATATTCACGAAATATTCATAGAAAAATACGAAGAGTAACTAAAATATCTTTTAAACTATTCTCTTCACGAATAATTCTTATCTCGCATATATTATAACGTTATTGCACTATTACTATATTACATTGATCTCTTTGCTTATGAAATGAAGTGTTTATAAAATTTCCAACGATTGTATTTTGTCTAATTTCATTTTATAAAAGTATGAAAATATTACTTCACCAACACCAAACAGAAACCTCGAAGGCGCGTATCCGCGTATCGTATCACCGTTGCGTATCAATTTTGACGGGCAAGCGTTGCATCGTTGCGTATCAAAATGTGATCAACTTGCGTATCAAAATAAATCACATTTTGATACACGACGATGCAACGCTTGCCCGTTCTGATTTAATTTCGATACGCAACGATGCAACGCGTATCCGTCAAAATTGATACGCAACGGTGATACATTGATACGAAGCGTTGCATCGTCTTGTATCAAAATTAATCAAATTTTAATACGCAACGGTGCAACGTTTGCCCGTCAAAATTGATACGCAACGGTGATACGATACGCGGATACGCAACGAATGGACACGCACCTAAATTCGTACGGAATTATTTCGAGTTTCACATCGAAGGGAAAGTTTCGAAATAAAGTATACGAATGAAAGATTAAAAATGAAGAATTATTACAACTAGATTATCACATAAGTTAATTTGAAGCATAGAAAGCCAGAGCTATACTTAAACGAGAAACAAAAACAGGATAAAGTCCTATACTGATATAATAATAATATAAAAAGAGCAACGTAACAATACACATACTATGATAAATTTAAAACATAATTTAAGTTAACAATATTTAACATAGGAAAATCTATCTGCTACACAAATGTAAAGTCAAATTGTATTAATAAAAAAGTAGGGCATACCGTGTATAAATTTTCGAATACTTTCAATATTTAAACGAATATTTCCAATTCTAAAATTAGTAATATACGACATTACGTATAAAATTTAATTAATTAATATTCAGAAAAATATTTAAGCTACGTATGAAACTTAATTATTTATGAAACGTTAATTCTCTAACACTTAAACAATTGTTCTACTTCTTAAATGAAAAATTAAGAACAAGTTGGAAAAAAAAAGGAACAATTACACGTAATATTTCGTTTAAAGCTATAGTAATAGTACATCTAGCACTTTCTTCGATCTTTACATGTATTTCAATAATTGTGAATTTCAATTAAATCGATCGTTTCAGACAACCTGCGCAGAATTATTAGTCCATAACTGTATTGTACTCGATACAATCCTGAAAATCTTTAAAAAACTACCAAGGTCTCCACATAGGATCAGCTTCGTCGACTCGTTCCACGTCGATTTCTTCGTCGTCTTCGACTTTAACTTCTGTTTTAACTTTTTTCGCTGCCTGTTCCACTTTGCGATCCTTCGTTTCAGAAATACACTTCGTGTCCATCTCTTTACTGTCGTCGACAGTGGTTATTGTGTTGCACTGAGGAGAAATGTCACGAATCGTTCCACGATGAGTCATTGCATTTTGATTGGCTGATATCACTTGAACGTTTTCGATGGTGGAATTTGCGAGAGAAGGTGCTAGCAAATCAGCTGTGAGGTTCAAGCTTGCTAGAATTTGCGTTAGCACGTTTGTTTTCGGCTGAAAGTGTATGGTAAATAATGTGAAATTAATAAATGATGAATAATTTGCAAAAACAAAATAAACGAAAGAATTTACAAATAATTACTATTAATTAATAGTATGAATCACCGAAAATATATAAAATACTTCTAATACACTTGACAGACGAATGCAACAGGTGGTCTTCACCACGTGTCAATGTTTACATTAGATAACAAACGAGAGAAATGAATAAATGATGAATAATTTGCAAAAACAAAATAAACGAAAGAATTTACAAACAATTGGTATTAATTAATAGTATGAATCACAGGAAAATATTTAAAATACTTCTAATACACTTGACAGACGAATGCAACAGGTGGTCTTCACCACGTGTCAATGTTTACATTAGATAATAAACGAGAGAAATGAATAAATGATGAATTATAAGTACAAAAGACACGAAAAAATGTACAAACAATTGTAAAAAATATTTAAAATAATTCTAATACCTTTGAGATGAACTTAATTCACATTAACATTCCTCAATTTCTAAACCAACTACATAACAAACTACAATTCCCAAAAATTCAAGCAAGCGCAAGTTCAACAACGTCCCGCCAATCACGAGACCTCGTACATCATAATCCTTCACCAACAAAAATACGAAGGCAATGACGTCGAAAATTTCTGTCGGAAAAGATTCTCCGTAGAGATAACGCGAGATGAAATTCACCGATCACTCGAGACACGAAGTTGCAACGACAACTCATCCTCCCTCGAGCACGAGAAACCCGGTCAAGTGCAAAAATGAAAACAGGATGCACGTGTCAATCTCGGTGAGGAGCGCGAAGAATTATTCGCCGGATTCACGGCCGGCCGGTACTTTCGCCTTATTGTCTCGCGATTATCGATGAAGAGATAATTACCGACGAATTCGTTTGCCGGCTCTTTTGAAGACCAGCTGCGAGGTGCCTGGCTAACCTTTCCGCGCCTTCACCTGGAAGAGCCGAGAGAAATCTGTATGCCTCAGCTGCACAGTGCCCGAAACCAGACAGCCACCGACTTTCGGCCGAAACGTCGTCGCTCTTCGTAATCGTGCCCGACAATCCGGAAGATTGCGAACCCTGTAGCCTTTGTAAATGGCGCACCGTCAACTCCAGAATGTCCGCTTTCTCCAGTTTGCTGATGTCCTCTCCTTCCGTCTGCAATCGATCAATCCATTTCGATTCGGTGCATAGGGATCGTGGATCGACGGTCTGCCGAGGTCAGAATGGGTGTACATTCTTGTTACGTCGAGGACACGACCGTTGCGTCTCGATTAACGTGTAAATTGAACGCGACAAGGTGTTACACAGGTATTCAGGTATCTTTGAATTTTTTTTTTAATGGAATCAAGGGAATTTTTTGGGGGGGAAAATTTGGAATTAGGTTTTGTATGTTTCAGGGGTAGAGGAAATTTCAAGAATTTTCACAATTTTTCAATATTTAATGACAAATTTAGCAAGACTTACTTCGACAATCTTTCGATTATTTGTTTAATAGACTAAAGTCTGGTAGAAGGAGATAAGTTATTATTAACGGAAGAAAGAGTTAGCGTTATGTTAGTTAAGGATCCGATGGGGATATAAACTTTATTCAGGAATAGTAATTTTATTATCAAATTTCATTATATATATTTAATATTGTATTTTCTGTATCAGTGTGAAATTTTAATATTATCATTTACTGTACCAGTGTGAAATTTTAATATTATTACTTAAGTAAACTATATTTCTAAATTGATCGATAGATTAAAATTCGTACTTATTAATAACAAATGTAAATTTTTTCATTTCTAGATTCCTAAATTCACAAATCTCAGCAATTTCGAAGCACACTCCACTGATTAATTTACTATGAAATCTAAATTCTTTTCTGTATCAATAATAGGAATTTCGCGCCATTCCGCAAAGTGTCCGCAAGAACAATTCACGTCCAACGTTCCACGTAAAACTAAAAGTGATTAGCAGACTGTGTGTGTAAACGTGAAACGTAATTATCGTCAGCGTAAATGCCCGTTACACATTCGACACACCTGTTCACCCAGCGTCGAATCTTTCATTCAACGATCGAACACCGAAATTACTCGTTCATTAATATTGTCACCTTATCCAGCATAATTGCCGACAGTTAGAATCGGGATAATTTCGTTCATTTTCGACGAAACCTCCAAAGTTTCTATAATTATAGGGTAAGATTTTTTTGCACATGTGGCACGATGACCTATTAAAAAAAATTCAACGCGTAACACATCCGGTGGAAAGTTTTTCATCGCATAAGAAGGTGTGAAAGTAGCTTATCAGCAACATTGAATGATGCAATTTATTCGCACTCAGGAACCGTTTTCAAGCGTTTAAGATGCACTTTAATTATAAACAAGATCATTACGATACAAGGTTGCAATGTGGATAATGAAGTATCGAGCAAGTAGGTTGACAATATAAACGTCGAAACGGAAGGAAGAAAGTTTTTAATTATCTTCCCGAGATGTGTTTCTCTTCGTTTGAAAAATTGTGAAAGAAACGTGTGCGTGATTTGTCACGAGTAGTTTAGAAATTAATCAGACATTTCCATTTAGGTCAAGTCGAACGAGTGAAAAAGGGAAGGAAAAGAAATTGATTATACTGTTCCATACTGTTCGAAAGCCTGAGAAAATCCTCGTTGGACAACATTTTATGCAACTTCTACCTCTTTTCCCGGACTTTTTCCACTCGAAAGAATCTCCGAGCGGCCGGCCGGCCAAGATCTCTGAAGTCATTATCAAAATGAACTGCTATCTCACGATCGAACGTGAAAAAGGCGCGTGTATTTGTTTAACGCGATCATTCCGACAGAGGAACCGAGACGAATTTGAATTTCAAAGGCTCACGTAGGCGTCTTAGCGTGGAGTGTTCACGGTTCGTGGTTTCGTGAAACGATCTGAAAGGAGAATCTGATCGACCTGACGGCGTGATCGATGAATAATATCGAACAGACCGGCGAAGCAGCGATTTTTCGTCGAATAACTCCCAAGTAATTTCATATTATTTAAATAATCTCGTAGTGAAAAATAATTTTGATACTTATGCCTAAGTTCGATCAGATTTTTCTTTCTCTTTTATTGTACGATTTAAGTTCGTAAGTGTTACGTGAGAAATTGGATAAATTATTCAATTTTCTAAAACTACTTGTTCTTTAAATAAAATATTTTGAAAAGGTAGATTTGAAAGACATTTTTGAAAAGTATTGGTGGTTTTAACATGTTTACGCAGTTACTATAAGATTTTGAAGTAGATTTGAGAATGAATTTAAAAAGATTTTAAATGTTTTATGATTTTTTGAATGAAATTGATTTTAAACAGGTACAAAATGATACTTGATTTACCTTGAGAGTACCATAGGACGGTAAAGAAGGTAGAAAGCTCGCGACGGTTGCTTGAAAATTCAGTAGGTGGCAGAAGGTAAGAACTCGCACTGGCGGGAAATTTGAAATTATTCGTTAAAACCTAGACAATTAATTCCCATGTTTCTATTGGTAAAAAATGTCTTCCCTATTCACTGCTTTGTCATAAATAAAACAAAGAGAATTTGAAACTCGTTACGAAGAAGCTTTAAAATAAAAGTAAATAAAAGTAAACGCTAACCTAAAATTTGTTTCTTAAACCCAATTATCCGTACAATTTAACGTCGTAAAATGTTCACATGCAACTTTCTTCGAAGAAGCGCAAAAGCTGGCGCAATTTCAACAAAATCAGGCTAGTAATCCTGAAAAACGTGTACCTGCAAACGCTTAAGATAACAGCCTGACATAATTGCGAAATTGCAAGCTTTACATACGCACAAATTCGCAAGGAAAAGTTGCTACACCGGTAATACCACTTCGTGAAATGCGTTTTGTCTTCTTTATTTTCGTACATAACGTAATTTTACTATTACGATTCAGACATCGATGCGATACAAATGTCATACAACCAACAATTAAAGGAGATTACGGTGTATCTTAATTGTTAATCGAAAAGAAGTTGCACAGACGCGGTAATAAAATTAAATTTGCAGTTGTGCGTCTCTCGTGTTATGCTACGAGAGTTGCGCGTTGCAATTCTTCTTCGACGTTCGTCGAATTAAAGAACGCTGAATTTGAAATTTCGAAAAATTTATTTACTTGTTTCTTATATTATAATTGCGCCAAAGAATGAGTGTGTAAGTGAAAAGCAAAATGGAGCGTGAATGGACAAGGAAATAATATACTGTAAACCAAGAAATGCTAATTTTTGAAACACCAATTTAGGGGAAATATTTTCTTTCGATGAACGAAATAGCCACGCTACTTTTAGTATTAATATTAATCTTTCTTATCGATATTTGATTGATATTTCAGCGATTAAAGCGAGAAAGAAAGAAATCTCTGGTACTGTGTACTCTAATTTCCCAATAGCCAAAATTCCATACTCCAGTATCGACTGTTTGTAAAAATCAAGCAATACAAATTAAATTTCAGAATACTAACAACTCAAAAAAATACCGCAACAATCTACCACAATATTATCAGTAAGAAACACGCGATGGCGTGATCTCGAGTAATCACAATCCCGCTTTATACACTACTTTGCGCTCTTTAAAAATCGGATAAAAAGAATCCTTATAAATCAGCCGCAAAGGGAGAAAACAGAAATAAGTATAATTTATTGCGCTTATTATTCAATTAATTCACGCCGTAAAAAATACACACAGACGAAAGTTCCCTTTGTCGTTGCATAAAGAAAAAAGAAAAAAAAAAGAAAAAAGAAAGTCATTATTCACACTACGAGATACTTAATCAGAATACAGTCTTATCGGAACTCTCGATCGTGATATCGTCTGTTCTCCATTTCCACTAGCCGCCCACAGAACACGTCGCAATTACACCGCGCATTATGTGTAATGAACATGGTCGAAGCGTTAACTACCGGCTTGATAATTACGCGGCGGTCACGTGTGTAAGTAAGCTTGACACTCTGGGGGAACGGTGTGCGGTTTTCCCACGCTCCTAGGAATATTTAAGCACCAAATCGATTGCACGCGTAGTTGCGGACCGAGAATGCATTTCCTGCTGCGAGCGACTCGTGAAATTACAGAGGGGAAACGTGGTATCGCGAGCGCGGCCAGTAAGTCGAGCAAGAAACCGTGGCTTCCTTCCAAAGGTTTCTCCGCTGCACGGGAAAAAAGCATAGCACGTGCTCGTTCGACCAATGTATCGCCTTCATCGGCCATCTCATCGCACTCCGATGCCTCTCCGCTAGGCGTTTTTAACATTGTCACCGTGTACGTACGTTGCTGTCGTTGCTCATTGAGGATCCTTTGCTCGATCGGATTTTTCGCGGGAGATTTTCCACGGCGAATTTGAAATTTTTCGCGGGCAATTTTCGACGGCGAATTTGAAATTTTTCGCGGGAGATTTTCCACGGCGAATTTGAAATTTTTCGCGGGAGATTTTCCACGGCGAATTTGAAATTTTTCGCGGGAGATTTTCCACGGCGAATTTGAAATTTTTCGCGGGAGATTTTCCACGGCGAATTTGAAATTTTTCGCGGGCAATTTTCGACGGCGAATTTGAAATTTTTCGCGGGCAATTTTCGACGGCGAATTTGAAATTTTTCGCGGGCAATTTTCGACGGCGAATTTGAAATTTTTCGCGGGCAATTTTCGACGGCGAATTTGAAATTTTTCGCGGGCAATTTTCGACGGCGAATTTGAAATTTTTCGCGGGCAATTTTCGACGGCGAATTTGAAATTTTTCGCGGGCAATTTTCGACGGCGAATTTGAAATTTTTCGCGGGCAATTTTCGACGGCGAATTTGAAATTTTTCGCGGGCAATTTTCGACGGCGAATTTGAAATTTTTCGCGGGCAATTTTCGACGGCGAATTTGAAATTTTTCGCGTGCTTATTTGGAATAGGTAACTAACGTGACAGTGGAAATTTTTTGGAATTACATGGAAAGTGTTGTGAAAGAGTATAGTTAAATACGAATGGAAACAGATGGCTTCGGTATAAAAGTAATTATAATAAAAATCTGTGTTTCTTTCTTGAAAGAAAACTACTCTATCTTGACTAATTGTCGACCTTGTAATAAATCTACGAAGAAACAGTCAAGGAAGCAAGTATTTAAATGACTTTATGAAATGTAATAAAGTTTCTTTGAGTAATAGTTTCTCAATTACGTTTAATACGATACTGTCGAATAATACATACCTCTAATGCATCTATCATAAGATTCTTTAATTCGTCCAGGCACTTGTTTATCCGTGCACGTCGTTTCCTTTCCAGGAGTGGTTTCGTTATCTAGTGGAGATGAAGTAATTATTTCAATTAAATATTTTCCTAATGTTAACGAAGTTGTTATACTAGTTTCTACACATGACAATTGCGAGAAACGTTAAAAACGAGTTAAAATTTCCCTTTTATACTTTCAGCGATTAATAAATGAACGCAAATTTAACGTTCATTTCCATGATTTATGCCATGAAATTAGTTTCCCTCCGAAAGCTCTAATTACTTTATTACTATAACACGCAAGCAGAGAATAAGCTTATATTTCAATTAATTAGATCGTAATCAATATCACTATTACTTGTATTTAATTTAATTACACTGATTGAAGGCGTTTAATTGAATAAACACAGAGACTGTCAGAGTTTCTAATTTCTCCACGAAATACAATAAGAAGGAATTATTTTACTTTAATCCTTTGTATCACTTACTTTTTTATACTGATACGTCCTGGAAACTGGATGAGGGTATTCGTATGACATCATTGCACGACTTGCTATATCCCTTCAAGCTTTGACAGATACCGCTACTTCACATCTGACTAATAAGAAAAAAAGTCTTCACTTCGAAATACGAATAGAAACACGAATTTACTTTTAACACTGTTCATACGCTACGCTGGATTTCAGTATGTCACAAAGACTGTCGTTCCCGATCTCGAGACTCCAAAATACAGTACGTATTAAAATTATCACTATAAATTTCTGTCAACATTATTTTATCTGTTCAACAACTTTGATTAAAATGCGGAAATATTTCTATCAAAACATCTTCATTCAAATGAACACCGAAATTAATGCAAGAAACACAAATTGTACCTCCTATTATTCGCTTAATTATCCCTTTACTTCTATTCTCAATTCTACTTTCAAATTCATCAATAATCTACATTCCGGAGAAACGCCGATAATTAACCACCGCTTCGCCTAATGCTTCACATTCTCCTCCCAAAATGATTAAAATACTCAGAAATCATCGTTTCGTAACTTGGCGCAATCGCTTACCTCTTATCGCCCCAAAAAAAAAGACACCCCTGAAATCACAAACGGTGCGAAACAAGAAACAGAACCGTCGCACACAGTGGCCAACAGTCCGAGTAACCTAACCGAGGAAACTTCGTCGACACTTTGTTCACGGTACCATCGGAAAAACCCGCAAGACAGAAAATGACAGCGGAGAGAGTGAAATTTTCACTGACATTAGACAAGCGAACGCACCGCGTGCAGTCTCTAGACAAACTGACTCTCCGCTGCCATTCAAGCGGCCGCTACCCTCACCAACTTCAAACCCTCTGCAGAAGCTACTTCTCAGGCAGAAGGTCGCTCTAAATGCTTTGATTGTGTTGCACCTACACCTTGACGCGCGCCGGGCGTCCCGACGCTCGTTGCCTCGCTGAAACTTGTTTGGATCTCAATTCGATCATCGTCGTGGTGGATGCTGCAACGCGAGAACTCTTTGCCAAGCCTAATCGGCGAATTTTTTTATCCGAGTCGAATTTATCTTCTCACTTTCTTAGATTATCGCGCACTATTTTCTGTTGCTCTCTTTCTTTCTCGGATATTAGGTGCATTTTAATTTTTGAAACGAACGTTAAAGCTACCTTTTCTAAAATACAAGTACGCATGCTGGAAGATGAATTTTCTGAAAATTAAACGAACCTTCTTTTAACCCTTTGCCTTGCAACGACGAGTCACATTCGTGACACTGCCAAGCCTAATCTGCGAACATTTTATTCCTGTGAGTCCGAGTCGAATTTATCTTCTCACTTTCTTCCATTATCACACTATTTTCTGTTTTCCTTTTTTGCGGATATTAGGTGTATGTTAATTTCTGAAAGGAATGTCAAACCTACTTTTGATATTTGGAAAGGTTTCTTTTCAAATATAAGTATGCACGCTGGGAGATCAACTTTTCGAAAATTAAGCGAACCTTCTTTTAATAACGAGTTACATTCGTGACACGAATTTTTTTTTTGAAATATAAGTACGCACGCTGGAAGATCGATTTTTCGAAAATTCAGCCAACCTCCGTTTGACCCTTTGCCTTACAACGACAAGTCAAATTCGTGACACAAATTTTAATCGACAGAAACAGTTGTGTTACTTACTTCTTATCTGACGCAGTATCGAGCCTGAAAACACCATAACCGGTAAAAAAAGGGAAGAATCCTTAAATAAAAGGGCTAAGAAAGGAGAATATAAGGAATCGAGGATTGCAGCAGCGTCGAGTTAGAATAATCGGAAAATTTCTATTCCATTCATGCCCGCCCATATCTATTTTACTTCTCCCTTAACAAGTAGAACACGAAGAGAAGTACAGGAAGCTGCGGACGACGAACGTGGTAGAATAAATTATCGATAACCAAAAGACGAAGAAACACGCATCGACAGATCGCACTGATTCACCGAAAAACAATTTCTTATCTGTGGACAAGTTGAAGCGTTAATTAACATTCTAAAGGGGCCGTTCGTACGTGGACTAACAAGGAATTTTCGAAACGTTATTTCCAACACGGCCGAAGCCATCGGACGTGTCGGATGATCGTTCGACAGTCGCCATTTAACGCGGCCATTAAGAAAGGAAACGAGACACGTTTCATGGTGTACCTTCGGGACAATTGCGAAATAAAACTTTTGCCCGGTTTAATTAGTATATAACCTCAGTTCCTCCTTCGAGAATTCATCCTCGGCTGCGCATGTCCCGTTTCCAGCCTAATTATAAGCAATTTTCGTCGTTTATTCGATTCTTCGTGGTTACTCCGGTGAACTATACGAGCCGTTTGGAAACTTGATAATTCATAATGCCCCTACAGCTGCTCCACGATAATTATTGCCAATTAATATATGCCCCCGTGTACGAGAGAGAGAACGTTTTATGGATGTTTGCTTGCGAGAGCGGCGTCAGAAATGGGAATATTTGCATAATTCGTAATTACAGTTATACCGAGTTAAAGCTGTGGCGAACAGAAACTGTTCGCGTGGTACACGATTAATCGCTTCCCGGATATTTAACAATTACGAATTCAGTTTAACGAACGAAGATTTTTCGAAGATTTCGTGTAACGTTCGTGCGTTCCGAGTGAAATGATAAGGTGCGTGGCGAAGTTTAAACCGTCCTATCTCGGTTTCTAAGAGGTGAAAGTTAAATGGTATTTTCCTCGAAAAATTCGATTATTATTGGTAAAAATTATCTGAAATTTTTCGTGAGATGAACAGGGGTTTTCTGCTGTTGGAGAGTGGATGGACGCTTCGTCGCAGATTTTACCGTGAATTCGTGCGAATCTTCGCTCGTTGAAAAGTGAAGAAAAGCTGAGAGAAAGAGTTTCGCAGATCGGATTTTTCGAGAAGCTTCACGTGCACGAAAGTGTCCTTAAGGAGTGAAGATGTGAAGTTAAGAGGAGAAACGGTTCGATTAGCAGACACGTCGCGGCCCGATGGAATTCAAGGGAGCCCTTTGTCGAGTCTCTCAAGAACATCCTCCCTTTATCGTCAGATTTTCGAGCCGGTCTCTTGAAGGCTCGATAAACCAGCAGACGAATCCCTCCATTAACATTATCTCTTGTCAACCAACCAGATACAGTTACGTGAGCTACACAGATGCAGCTTTCTGCTCGACGCTTTCAGAGTGATTCGCTCCAAACGCTCGAGAGAGTGCTAGAAGGAAGATAATGTTTGTTCGCGACTCGACGACTCGCCAGAGCCTCGTGGAAATCTTACAGAACACGCAGCCTTTATTTTTTCTCAAGTACGTGTCTAGCCACTTTACCAAACGAGCTGATTCTCGTTAGCCTCCGGTTGGTTAATCGACAATCTTTCCAACGATTACCTTTTCGTGTAGTTTCTGTGTAAAAGTAGAGAAAGACGTTCGAAATTTTGAAAATTATTCGTCACATTCCCTGAGTTTAGCCTCCGATCGGTTACTCAACGATCTTTCGTGAAAATTTCAATTTTTCTTTCGTGAAAAAAATAGGGAAAGGACGTCGAAAATTTTTTAAATTATTCACAAACCTGAGTGTGATTGCTCTCTGAGCGCTCCGAGTTCCCAGGAACCTGAAATCAGCGCCAAATTTTAGGGCAAAGACGAATCATTCGAGGAAACCGAATAAAACTTAGGCGAATGTTGGACACGAGAAAAGGTGCGTTTATAACGAACGACAGGAAATAAATTTAGCATCGAGCATAATTGCACAGTTTCTTGCACCTGATAACGACGCCC